CTGGGTGTTATACACAAACAATGAATCATGGAACACTACATCAAAAACTAATGATGTAATGTATGGTGATTAACATAACATAATAAATAAATAAATAAATAAACGAGCATTATTCTTAATAAAGTGCTGTTACATCTTAAGAGGGGAGTGAAGGTCTTAAATAAGTGCAAAGGACAACAATGAAATGTACATCAGCCCTAACCATGCCAGTGCGTTCTCGGGAGCTGGGCGGAGGGCTGGCCTTCCACCCACAGTGAAGGGTCTGGCTCCTCCTGGATTGCGACAAACGCACGCCTCACAGGGAAACGACAGAGGTGAGCTCAGCGCAGGGCAGACTGCTGAGTCTGGCTCAGGAAACCGTGGGGACAGGATGTCATCTCTCACCGCTCGCTGTCACACAGTCATTCATCCTGTCCCTCTCCTCCATGGATGGGCCCAGCAAGATTCAGCTGGCCTTCCCAGCCTGCCATGTGAGCCCCTTCCACCACAGTCTGCTGTTCCTCCCTCGGGACACCCTGCACTCCAGCAAAGCAGCCTTTCCACGGGGCTGCCGATTCTCTGGGCTCCCCCTGAGCCTGCACTGTGTCCCTGGCTGTGGCTCGGGCCACCCATTCTCTCCACCAACACAAATCCCAACTTTTCCTTCTCCAGCAACATCCACTTAGAGTCGAGGGGTTTGGCTCACAGACCGGCAGGTGTGGGAGGAAATGCCGCACCCGGCCCCCAGGCGGGTATTTCCTCTGCAGCTCGGGCCCCTCTGTACCCCTCTCCTCTGCTGCTCCTTGGTGAACCTCGACCATAGCACATGGCCTGGGCCAGGCCCAGTTCTGCTCGGGAGCTACACTTCTTTGCCTCCTCCAGGGAGGCCGCCCCCAGGAGCCCCAGGGAAGGCCATGATCAGGTGGCTGAGTGTTTCATCCTGGGGCCGCTCAGCAAGCCCATCTGGCTCTCATGCTAATTTCTATCTTTGGTGCTAGCCTTTAGCAATGAGAAAGAGGAGATGTTCGCCTCCACCCGCCCTGTCTCTGTCTTCCTTCTCGGTTTTACATATAACACAGATAGGGGGAGGGGGGTGCCCCTTGTTGTATTCCTGAGTCATCCCAGCCTGGACCTCGCCCTGCATAGGCTCTACGGCTCCTGGCCACGTGATGCTTTTGTGTTCTGAGAAATACACCTGAGTTAAACGAGCACAACGCTAGGGCAAGGACAGGGCCAGGAGGTAGGAACAAGATGGCAGCTCTGAAAGACAGCTTGATATGCCCATGCAGGGAGCACACTCCTCTGGGGAACCTCCCCTTTCCTGAGTGCTAGGGGACACGGCAGGCACCCAGAGGTAACACGGTGTCACCTCTTCAGAGAGACCTGACCCGACTCTGCTGCCTACAGTCCGTCTCACTCCCCTCACCCCTGTTCGGTGACTGTCACATCATCTCGTTCATTTCCTAAAGGCGCTGATCACCATCGATGAGTGCTTTCTGTCCGTCTCCCCCAGCCATAACGTGTGCTCCATGAGAGCAGGGCCAGGACTGTCTGTCACCACTGCAGTCCCAGAGATCGTGGACACTGTGCCTGCCACACTGCCGCCCGCTCAGAATCCCAGTGTGGTGAATGCGCGGTGTGGGGCGTGCAAGGATAAGAAAGGAGGACGGGGGGGGGCGGAGCAAGATGGCGGAGGAGTAGGAGACCTGGATGTCGTCTCCTCTCAGGAATTCAGCTGGATAGGGATCAAACCATTCTGAACACCTACAAACTCAACAGGAGATCGAAGAAAGGAATAGCAACAACTCTCTGA